GCCAAAGGTGCAGGGTGCTGATGGCGCGGTGCACCGCGTGCTGAGCCCTGCCCTGTCCCAGCTCACCTGCGTGCCAGCAGCCAGCCAGAGCCATCTCCTCCAGGACTCCCACCTCCTCCAGGACCCCCTTGTCTCATCGCTGGGCCTTTTCCTTTAGCCCAGGATCAGTCTAAGCCCCTCACCACGGTGGCAGGGACCAGCGTCACCTGGAGAGGACAGGAGACCAGGCTCACCCAGACTGTGCTGGGCATGTGTCCACAGGGTGCTGCTATTTCCCACAAGCACCGCGGAGACTGGGGGTTATCAGGCCCATTGGAAGGACGAGCAAACTAAAGCCCAGGCAGGACGCAGGAAAAGCTCTCAAAGTCTGCAGCCCGTAGACGGCAGAGCCTGGGTTCTGCCTGGGCCCACTGGCTTGTTGTCAACTGTTCGGGGCGTTGCCCCTGGGAACCCCCTCTGCGCCGCCTGACCGTCCCCTCCGGGGCCTGGGGAACTTCTCTTCCCACCTGTGTTCTGTGACCTGCTCCCTGTCTTTGTCCCTTTAGTCATCTCCTCCCTGCCCCGAACATGCCCCCCGCATCTTAGCATCAGCAGAGTCCTGGGTCGCCACGTTCACTCGCCCACATCCCTCCCCAGCACTGCCCCAGGCCCTGGCCACAGGGTCACCGCTGTACCAGCAATGACCGCCTCCAGCCTGACTCCTCAGGTAACTGTGGAACGGGTGAGAGGCAGTGCCCCTCCCCCTCCGGGCACAGCGGGTCCCGTGCCCCTCATTCCCGGCACTGCTGGAGGCCAAGGCAGGCAACCGCAGAGGGTTGGATGAAGCACGCCGGGCTAATTGGCTCCCTCTCCCTGCCAGCATGACAGGGCCTGCCTGACATTTCCCCAGAGAGTTAATTGATACCTAAGTCATTTGTCATGGAGACCAAACTATATGCCAACTGGGTCCCCTAAGCCGACAGCGTCTGTGCCCCAGAAATCAGATTGGCAAGTTGATAATGGAGACTTAGTCACACCGTTTGCCGCTGACAGGGAAAGAGAATCACCTGGAGGTGAGATGGAGTGTCGTGGGGAAGAGATGGCACCTCCTGGGAGCCTGGGAGCGAGGAGCCGGGAGCCACAGTGCCCGCTTGGGAAGGCCCCCTAACCTCAGCGTCCCCCGGCAGGTGCACCTTCTGGTGACACTGCTTTGATTTTCCATGGAGAGATCCCCCAGAAGGTGGGCTGGGCTGGCTTCCTGGTCCTCCTAGGCCGCAGTGACCTGTTCAGGGCCTGGTGATGCCAACGAGAACCTGAGTGTTGGCTTGAGGCTGGCAAGGCAGCAAAACCATGCCTCGCCTGGGGTACTAAAGGAAGTCCCCTGGGGTTTCAGGTGGCCAGCTAGCCCACCTGGGGAGAGAGGCCTCCAAGAGGCACCAGTACAGGACAGCAGAGGACAGGAGAGCCCGTCCTGTGACACAGCCAGGTATACAGAGCCCATCTCTGCTTAAACTAAAAACCAAACTCACCACCACCACCACCACCACCACCACCACCACCGAGTCGATTCTGACTCACAACGACCCCCGCTGGGTTTCTGAGGCTGTAAATCTTTACAGAAGTAGATCACCCCATTGCCCTTCAGCTGAGCAACTGGTGGCTTTGAACCACTGACCTTCTGGTTAGCAGCCAAAGGCCTTACCCACTTCACCACCAGAGCTCTTTCTGTCTTTGCTTCTAAGGATTCAACTTAGCTTCCTGTCACACATAACCTGGGGAACTAGCCCACAGACAGGGAGCCGCGGCTCTGCACCTACTCCAGGGTCACCCTGTCTTCAGAGCCTGGGTGGGGTCTGCTCACATGAGCAGCCGAGGCGGCTCCTAGTGACAGAGCACGCGGCCTGGCAGAGTGAGCTGGGGCTGGGGCCAGGGCCCCGGGGAGGGCGAGCTCGGGGGTTCCCGGGGCTCACCCCACGGGGCTGATGGGGAGGGGAGGCGGGGCGGGGGCAGGGGAGCACAGGAGGAAGGCTTCCCAGCGCCCCTGGGGTCCGGGCAGCTCAGGCCAAGCCCTTGGGCGCCGGCCTCAGCACCACGGACAGCGGCAGTCGCAGCACCGGCGGACGTGGCGGTCTCCACGGGAACTGCACTGCACTCCATGACCGTGACGCCCACCCTATCTCGCGCTGTTGACACCTGAAACCACGGCGTCCCCGCGCCTTAGAAGCAAGAGCGGCACAAACACAAGGACTCTCACGGGGGTTACAGCCAAATGGGCTACTTTCCAAGGCTTCTGGGGCGGGGGAGGGAAGAGGGCACCCGATTCCTCCGCAGGGAACATCAGAAGCTGGGGGACCGCGGACAAGGCCTCCCACGGCCCGAGGGGGCAGGAGTGCACCCAGGGCTTCGTACCAGGCCGGACGCCCAGCCATGTGGGGAGGCGGGCGAGAGGATCGCAGGCCCTGGAGCTCTGTTCCCTTCTCAGGTGCCGCCACACGGAGGTACCCTGAACGAAGGCTGCCAGGGACCCATGGAGTAGCGGATCCGGCATGGCAGCAAGGCCCAGGGACTCCCAGGGTAAGGGTGACGGGCGCGTCGTGGCGGGCAAGCAACTGCGACAGATGGCTGCAGGTGGAACAGTGCAGTGCTGGTTCTCTCTCCTTGCACCCCCCGTTATCCCCTAATGCAGACGGGCCGTCTCGCATGGTTTCTGAGGGGACAGGAATCCAGCCGCAGAATGGAGAGGTGGTTCTGGCTCCGGGCCTCTCCTGAGGCTGCCGTGCCCTGAAGGCTCACCCTTTTGCACGGCTAATGGCCGGAGGTGTGCTCCCGGTCACATGGACTCTGCACAGCTGCTTATGACAGACAGCTGACTTCCCTCAGAACACTCCTTCTCAGCCACACCCCTCACTCCTGCAGGTCACAGACCTGCCCTGGTTCTTGGTCGGAGAGGACTAAACAAACACGAGGCAGGCATGGCTGGGACCACCTGAGACTTTGAGCCAAACAGACAGACGGCCTCATGTTTCAATCATACCTGGAGGAAAATTATACACTTGATGCAGGATTTGGAGGCAAGTGAGTAATGGGTCCACGGAAAACCAACCAAACCACCACGAAAATGAGGCAGTTATTAAGTCCAGGAAAAACGAGGTTGTACGAAAGGAAATGTAATTACATTACATTACTCAGCTATGAACAGTCTAACCAAAGAAATAATAGCATATACATTGAATTCTGATTCAACCACACAAATGGGGGTGGTGGTGGAAGGGACTGTGTGAGTGGGGGGGGGGCTGTGCGTAAGGATAAAACAAACTCTCAGCCCCCAGAGGTGGGCAGGCAGTGGCTAAGGCCTCACTCACCCTGCCGAAACCCAACACCCATGTGTTACTTACCAGCAAATACCAGAGAGACACCAGCCTCTCAGAGGCATCTGCCTCTGACAAAAAGGGAGGGGGAGGGGTGAGGCCCCACTGTTTTGCATGAGCTTGACAGACTATCTGATTATGTAAACTATGTACATTTAGGACTTTGATTAAAAAAAAAAAAAAAACCTCAAGTGAAATATAAATAAATAAGACAACAGCATTCAGCCTGCCCCCACTCCCAGCTCTGCAGTCAGGCCCCCAAACCGCCCAGGGAGCTGCCTCGTCCTTCCTGGGACGGCAGCAGCCAGGCCAGGGCCAGCCAGTGACCTTGAGTGTGGGTCTGCCAGCCCTGGCCCACTGGAGCCTTCCTGTTGCTCCCCTACCCTCCTGCTCCAAGACCAATGGTCACTCTGGCCCCCACTTCACCTCTCCTCCACCAGACTGGCTCCCCTCTCCCCCTGCCCCTTCTTTTCCCCTGTGGGTTCTGCCCACGGGCGGCACCAAATAAGGGAGCAGGGGGCCGGCCGGGGGGAGCTCAGCACTGCCCAGGAGGTGGTCCGCAGCCCCTGGCACTGGCCCCCTGCCCACCATGGCAGGAAACCAAGTGAGAGAAGCAGCTCCGCTTCCAGGGAGGTAAAGCAGGGACGCGCTCCGCTCCATCATCCTCCCGACACCTCGCCTAATTACGCAGCTCACCATTCGTCTGGATGTCAGCGCTGCCGCCTGCCGATGCTTTAATTAATAATTTGGTAAAACTCCACACAGGGCCTGCCAGGGCTGGGCTGCCCCCCTGGTGGGGGGTGGGGCTGGCCAGGGCCCCCTGCAAATGTAAGCTTCCTGGTCACAGCCCCAGCTCCTCACTTGCCCTGAAGACTGGCGCCCAGGTCACAGGTGCAGGTGAGTGGTGTCTGAGGTCTGGGCACTGCCCCTGGGAGGGGGTGCCCTGGCCTCTGACTGGGGTGGCCCCCTCCTTCTCCGAATATCTGGCTTGTTCTAGAGAAAATGATCCTCACAACCCCACATGTGAGGACAGAGGCACAGAGAGGGGCAGTGACGCACCCAAGCACACAGGTGGCACGTGGAACCCTGGGCCAGGTTCCCAGGCCAGCTGTTCCCAGTAGGAAGCCCTCCAAAGACCCTACCCAGGAGGTGGGAAGATGGCCTGAGGAACTGAGTGTGCACCAGTGACTGGGGCCTGTGGGGCTGCAGGGGGTGTGGAGGGGCAGGCCTCCCCTGGAACCTGGGCTGCCCTTGGGTCCTGGACGTGGGCCTTGGAGTTGGAAGCCCAGAGCCTAGGAGGGCTCAGGTGAGGTGTGGTAACAGGGCCAGCTCAGGCCAGGGCTTGAAGGGCCCCAAGCATGTTGGCCAGAGGAGGGTGGGGCTGAGCACAGCCAGGACCCCCGCGGGGTCTCCCAGGCCTGGCCTCGGAAAATGCAGGTCCACTCCCTGCACCGGCTCCTGCTCCATTCCCATCGCGGCTTCCCGAGAGAGGAGCGGGCGGGTGGGCAGGAAGTGGGGGCTCTGGGATTGACCCCTGTGGCCCAGGCCAGCTCAAATGCTGGGAGCCTCTCAGGAGGTGGGTCCTGGGCTAGGGGTGCAGAGGCTGACGGGGGGCAGGAGTCTATCTGGGACCGACCTGAATTATTAAGAGGGTTACGGGGTATTCTTAGCTCGGTACAGACTCTGGTCCGTGGAGACAGACATCATCACAGCCCTATTTTTAAGGTTCTGCAGGAAGGAGCCAAGACGTCATTACACTTAGGGGCTCAAGGGGTGGGGGAGGCCAGGCAGGGCAGGGGGGCACAGAACCCTGCTCCCAGGGTGCCCCTCTACACCAGGGGCCAGGAGCTGAGAGCCCAGACCCTGCTGTTCTCCCAGCTCGACATTGCCCACGATCAGCCCACATGGTCTGGAAGCAGGACGTGGGCATCTCAGGGTTCTGCCTCCTGTGTTGGAGGGGTGGGGAGCCTGGGTTCCCTACACCAGGTCCTTTCCGTTGCTTCTGCGTCCCTGCCAGCCGCCGCCTACGTCTGGCTTCCCCCCTGGATCCCCCATCCTGGCTGCCCCAGACCCTAATCCCTGCTCCCCTCAGCTTTCCTGCAAACACCTGGGCCACACCCTTCCTGGCCTGTGGTGGGCCAGGGTCTCTGGGAAGCTGCGCCTCTGCAACTCCTCTGATCTAAGGCGGTGTGGGTGTGGACATTAGGCAAGACAGGGCACACGGGCCTTGCATAGGGCCTGCCACTGCACGGCATGGCTTCTTCTTGAAGTTTTATCTTAAATGCCAGGTCCCTCTAAGACTCACCCCCCCCCACACACACTCCATGCTTAACACCCAGCTCCGTCACAAAGCTTCCGTAGGCCGCCAGGGCAGTCTGCTGGGGACCGTCAGGACCTTCTGTTGAAGCCCCACCTGAAGTCCGGCGACCTCAGGCACCAGGCCTGGGGGTGGGGCTGTCTGCTGGGGAGAGCCCAGAAGCCCTTGAAGGCACATGGCGTTTCCCCTGACCCTATCTTCCTGCTTGGGGGAGGGGTGTCCCCCTACTCTGAGTCACATCACAGCTGGACATCATGGGGACGAAGGGACGACCCACCACCAAGCTAGAATGACCCAGAAGAGAAGACTCAAGTTACCGACGTCAGGAATGAAAGCGGGGGCATTACTACAGCTCTACAGAGAGAGACACAAGTGAGTACCACAGACAGTCCCGAGTCAAGAAAGTGGACAACCCCCAGGAAATGCACAAACGCCTAGAAACTCACAAGGTACCAAAGCCAACTCGGTGGAACAGACCACGTGAACACGTCAGACTGCACCCTTAATAAGGACAACATTCTACAGACGCTAAAATTCAAACACTTGGATACATATTTACCACAATGTTCTGTTACGTATTTTACAAAAGAACAAAACAAACTTCCAACAAAGAGAAGCTCATGGCCAGATGGCTTCACTCATTTTTCTAACAAATATTTAAAACAATTAGCACCCATCTTGCTCAAACTCTTCCAAAAAACAAACAAACAAACAAACAAAAATAACAGGTAAGGAGGAACACTTCCTGACTCATTATCCTGATAGCAAATCTGCACAAAGACATGTAAGAAAACTAAAGAGCAAATCCTGCATGGACATGGGTTTTAAAAATTCGCAACAAAATACTAACGACCTAAATCCACAATCAAAGGATGATATACCATAACCAATTGGGCTTTATCCAAAAACTCCAGAGGCTCAGGATCAGAAAGGAAGTCAGTGGGATGCATCCTATTAACAGGATAAAGGCAAAAAGCCCCATCACCTCAGCAGATACATGCAAAGTGTCCGACAAAACCCAATGTCCTTCATGATTGAAACAAACTCAAAAAGGACAGGGGACATCTTCAAGCCAACGAAGGGTGTCTATGAAGAGCCCATAGCTGACAGTGTAAGTAATGGTAAAAGACAAAAGCTTTCCCTGCGGTCAGGAACAAAAGACAAGGACGTATGTATGCCCTGCTGTGCGGGCGCCAAGTCAAAATTGACGGGACACACCCAACACCGAACGTGAGATCATGTCACCTGTGACTAGAGTTTGCTGCTTCGTTTCCAACCTGGACACCTTTCCCATCTCTCATCTAACTGTCCTGCTAGAATGTCCACACAGTGTTGGACTAAGTGGAGAGAGCAAACACCCTCGTCGTGTTCCTGATGGCGGGGGTGGTGGGGTTCAGATGTCCGCTGGGTACTGAGCTCGGGGCTGCCTGCGGGAAACTGGCCCTGGTTCAGCAGCCACCGCGGGTCCCAACCACGTGAGCACAGGGGTGGCGGTGGACTGCTGGGGGCCCTCATGCCTTCCCTGTTCCCTGCCACTGGCAGGAGGCTCCTGCCACAGGCCACCTGTCTCTCCCCCCAGGGCCATGCACGGGACTCGCTGTGTCCGTTGGGTCTAGAGGTCAGAGCGGTGGCCCCCGACTGTGGCTGTGCTTGGCTGAGGTGGGACTCCAGAAGCCCTGCCTGGCACAGCCTGTGCCCACGGACTTTTTGTTGTTGAGAGACAGCTCTGAGGGCCTTCACAGATGGCCCGATCCCCTAACACAGGGCTTGGGGGCATGAACCCACATGACAGGTGCCAAGTGGTGAGGCCGTCCCTCCTGACCAGCAGCTGCTGCATCCCCGCCTCTCAGGCCCAGTAACTGCTGCCTCCCGGGCTAACTCCACTCCTGCCTTCCCTGGCTCCCGTGACCCACCACTGCCAAGCTGGCCCTCACAAGCACTGCAGGTGGACACTCACCCAGTGCCTCTCTCTCCTCCTGCCCAACCCTGCCCCCCATGGATGACAAAACTGCCTCCCAAGTGTTCCCCCACCCCTGGGTGTGCCAAGAGCCATCCTGGGTCTGGGCTGAGGCTAGACTCCCCGCCACTAGGCAGACCGAGTCTCTGCACCCAGGAGCCCCCTGACGCAGGAGAGAGAAAGGGAGGAATGACGACCTCCACCCAACCTGAGCAGGGTTCTGACACAGGAGAGGGAAAGGGAGGAAGACGACCTCCACCCAACCTGAGCAGGGTTCTGACGCAGGAGAGGGAAAGGGAGGAATGACGACCTCCACCCAACCTGAGCAGGGTTCTGACGCAGGAGAGGGAAAGGGAGGAATGACGACCTCCACCCAACCTGAGCAGGGTTCTGACACAGGAGAGGGAAAGGGAGGAAGACGACCTCCACCCAACCTGAGCAGGGTTCTGACGCAGGAGAGGGAAAGGGAGGAATGACGACCTCCACCCAACCTGAGCAGGGTTCTGTTGAGCAGTGCAACTTGTTGTGAGGCCAGAGACACGTGGCTCGGCGGCTTGGAAACCCACTCGTGCAGAGTGGAGAATTCCTCTGCCCTGCTCCCCTCCTCACTTCCGCTCAGGCACATCTAGCTTCTGTGAAACCTGTGAGCTGCAGGTGCTCTCTTTGCAGGTAACCAATCAGCCTTTTACCCCGACTACACCAGAAGAGCCCCATGGAAGCCCCACACGGCCTCTGTTCAGGGCTCAGTCTCTGGATGCGAATCCACCGAGTCTGTGCCAACGCACGGAAATTAAGGTCCTTCCTTTATTCACCATCCTGCTTGGTGTTAGCGTTTCCCTTGACGGCTCCGGTAACGCTTCTTGGGTGGGGTGCCTGCTGGCACAGTCCCCGAAGCAGAGGGGGCTAAGGCCCTTGGGGGCAAAGGTCAGTGCCGAGCCCAGGAGCTGGGGGCAGGTTCTGAGGTCATCAGGCGGAAGGTTCTAAGACCCAGGGAGGGGGTGACCGGGGCTCCCCGTGCACCCCAGCTTTGACAAGCAGGGTGGAGTCTCTCAGAGTCTCAGGCCTGGGAGGGCCAACCACATGCCCAGGTGAGAGGGGGAGGCGAGACGCACCAGAGAGGCCCAGCAGCCCTCAGAGGGACTCAGCCAGGGTGGCCCCCGAGGGAGGCTCCTGTGGCATATGCTGGACCCTGCTCCCGGGAGACCCTGGCTCTCAGTGACTGGAGGCAGGCCCCACAACCCTGGGCTTCTGTCCCACTGTCAGGTCACACAGCTCGTCCCTCTTGGCGCACCGGTACCAAGGAAAAGCCTTTGGACTCTCACGGCCTCAGCACAGGGAGCCTAGCATCTTCCAGGGACCTGGGGCTGCAGGCAGTTGGTGCAGGGGGGTGGGGGGTGGGCACTCCTGGCAAGGCTGGGCTGTCCTGCGCCCCTCCTCGCGCCCTACCCCTCAAGGAGAGGGCCGAGGCGTTGAGGAGGGCAGCAGGCACAGAGGAGCCGCCCCAGTGGGGGGGTGGGCCTCACCTGGCTCCTACATGAGGCCCCCTCGGCCCCAGGCTGGGCAGCAGAGCCCCTCGGGACACCATCAAACACCCATCCTGCCTGTGCCCCCACCCAGTGGTCCCTCTGCAGGCTGGTTACCTGGCACCGACCCCACGGGTCAGAGATGAACCTGCCCCTCCCACGTTCCAGGGGAAGCAGTGGCCGGAGCTCTTGGGCTGGTGCTCCGCTCGGTGGAAACTTCCACAGCATGTTGGCCATGCGGTCGCCCCGTCTGGGGCAGGAGGGACCGGTCTGCCGTGGCGGTCCGCTGGTGGGACCATGGGGCCGGAGCTCCGCACAGCCCCCAGGATGAGTCACCCTGGGGCGTCTCACTCCCAGAGGTTGATGTGGGGGAACCCCAAATCTCCATGACATCCGGCTCTGCTTGGCCTCCAGCCTGCACCCCACTATCCCTGGGGGCCTCGGACGGCTCATCCAGCTCTGCCCCAGGGTCTGGGCTGTGGTCCTGGGGGGACCTGTCCTCACCCTCGGGCTCTCCCAAGCCTCCTCGTGGGCATGCCTCTGATCTCTGCGCCTTCTGGATTCTGGCAATAAAGATGAGAACGGGGCAGCCTGAAGCCCCAACGCCAGCCGGGTCCACTGGCTCCCCACGAGGTTCCTCACAGATGCTCATCTGAACCAGAGGCCCAAACAGGGATAGGCCAGAGTGTCGGTGACACAGGAGCCCCTGGCAGGGTGCAGGGTCAGAGGGCAGGTGGACACAAGCTGTGAGCCCTCAACTCTTGAGAGGGCTCGGGGTCCCTGCCATCCCGCCTCTTTGGTCCCCAAAGCCTCTGTCCAAGGCAAGGGCACCTGGGGTGGCAGTGCGGTCCTCAATCCAGCGTCTCAGTGGAGGGAAGTGGGCTCTGCCGCCCAGCTGTCACGGGAACCTGCCCCGCCGCCTCGGCAGGAAGGGCTAAGCCGCACCTCAGTTTCCTCTCCTGTAACAGGACAGGCCCCAGCCCGTAGCAAAGCTGCAGTCAGATTCTACGAGCGTGAGTGGCCCGTGACAGTGCGGTGGGCATGGTGCCTCGCTTACGGTGGCCGTGGCACCCTGTGCCAGGCACGAGCTCACAGGAGCCTCCTAAGGACCCCATGGGACCAGTTAACATCACCGTGTAGATAAGAAAACTGAGGCATGAGGAATGTATGTGTCCAGGGCCAGTCCATACCCTCCATGGGCCAGGAAAGCATGGGACGAAGGCTTGGGGCCAGGAAGGCCTGTGGCCTGAGGCTCTGAGGATTTCTAGACAGTCCACAAGGGGCCTGAAGCCCACCGTGGCCCATGCTGTCTGCGGCTCAGCCCCTGCCCCCCTCCAAGGCCTCTCCTGGGTGTCCTAGGCGCTCACCTCTCCTGTCTTAGTGCGGGGGGCCCATGGGACCCCAGGGTCCTGCGGATGTACTCGCGGGAGCGGATGTCAGCCTGGCGGGAGGGGGGGGGCAATGGCTCCAGTGAGCAAGGTGGGAGGGGCTGGGGTCCCCTGAGCTCATTTCAAACACCCTCCTGGTACCCCGACAATGTGAGAGACGTGCTGTGGACCCTATGTATAGCACTCAGGGGCTGGGGTCCACTGAGCTCCCCTCAAACAGCCCTCCCCACACTCCCACAATGTGACAGACGTGCTGTGCACCCCACATGCAGCACTCAGGGGAAGTACCCACCCCACTAGCCTTCTGGGGAGCAGCAAGGCCATGGGCGACAGGGCCACAATCCTGCAGTGGCAGGTTCAGATGGCACTCAGCATCCCAGAGGCCTGAGCTGGTGAGTGACAGTCTGAGTGGGGGACCCCAGTCCCCTCCCCCTGCTCAGCCTTCTGAGGTCTCCGAGCTTATACTTTCTGCTCAAGCCTCTTCTTAGAAGGGTCTCCTCAGCCAGCTTCCTGCCCAGCCCCAGCCAGCATTAGCCCTGACCCATCCCTGGGGAGCATCTCCACAAAGTTCCATGAAGTCACCAGAATGAAAGACCTATGGGTGGTGGGGGAGGGACTAAACGTGCAGGAGGGGGCAGCAGGCGAGGCCTGGGCAGGGCCTCCTCAGGACCTGGCCATGACGCTCCCTACTTCTGGCCTGGCCGCAGAGGCCCCCATTTTGTAGCAACACTGAACCTCCAAGGCTGCCTCCAGTTACCAGGGAGTAGCTGCTGGGAATAGGGGGTGTCCTGGTGGGCCCTACCTGGCCAGGCGGGGTAGATCCCCCTGCCTTCCTGCAGCCACCCGGCCTCAAGGAAGAGTCCGGGCTTGGCACCAGGGGGCAGTGCCTGTGACCATGGGCCCCCATGAAACCTGGGCTGGGCAGTAGGGGACCCTATGCACACCACAGGATAGGGTGCAGACAGACACTAACCTATCTCTCCCCCTCACCCAGGAGAGCCAGGACGGCAGACTGCGAACAGAGATTGGACCCCGGAAGAAAACAGGCAGAGAGAAGACCGGTCTCTGGCCCTCCTGGGTGGGGCGAGCCCTGCAGGCTTTGTGGTGGCCAGGCAGCCGGCCGGCCCCTCTCTGAGGCGGGACAGGTGGTCCCTGCCCATCTCAGGTGCTCAGGGGCTCTACAGAATGGCTTCCCACTGGCCCTGCTGGGGACAGACAGGGCAGAGCTCAGTCACAGGATGCCTCTGGGAGCCTGGCACTGCCCTGGGCAGGAACATGGAGAGGTAGATGTGGTCTGGGTGACTGGTCAGACCTTGGCCCCTCACTAGCTGGAGATGAGGACACAGTCCTCGCAGGTGCAGGGACACGGGCTTGCAGGGTGTCGCTGCCCCCTGGTGGCCACCCTGTGCACCAGCAGCCAGGCTGCAGGGTAGGAAGTGCCCCAGGGCCATCGGGGCCAGGTCTCCTCACACAGGTGAGGGTAGACGTCTGTGCGCTGTGCCCTCCAATCCCTCAGCAAGGCAGGCTCAAAGAGGGGTGGCAGGAGGCCGAGTGGAGAGCTGGGCCTGGGCAGGCAGAGAAGACAGCCCCTAGTTCAGAGAGTTTAAGACCCAGTCCCACACTGCACACCCCTCTAGAGGCACAGCTGGGCCTCTCCTGGTCCAAGCACCTGCGGTAAACCTGCAGCTCTTCCCCCCACTCCCAGCTCTGGCTTCCACCTGCCACACCTCCCAGCCTGGCCTCCCACATACCTTCCTCCTGGGTTCCCGCCTCAGGACCTTTGCCTCCTCAGGCTGGGACTGGCCTCACCCAGCAACCTCCACCTCTCTCCTCCTCTAGACCTTCCCTCAGGACCACTGCTCCCATCCTCCCAGTCAGAGCCCCCCGGGCCCAGGCACCGGGCATCATCACTCAGCTGCGTCTGCACCCAGCACACTCAGCCTGTCCTCCACCAAAGCTCCAAACCATCAGCCTGAGCCCCAGTGCACGTGCTGGGCTGGCCCAGCCTCAGCGCCCAAGTGCCTCAATCTACATCCCTGGCTGAGGACAGCAAGGCATGTCGCGGATGGGCAGAGCACCCTACTCTGAGGGAGCTGCTATCAGTGAGTCTCCAAAGGCTGGGGAAAGGGCAACCAGGACCAACAGAGCCTCCCAGGCAGAGCCTCCCAGGCAGAGCGGCTGACCAGGGCAGACTGAGCCCACCATACCGAGAAGCCTGACCACGGTGGCCAGGGCTCCCCTCCTGCAGGGGCTGTGCTCAGATAGGACTGGGAAGAGCAGGACAAAGGGCCAGAGGGCCACCAGTCACCCACCTGGCGCACGGGCTCTGGAGTCCGGAACCTGCAGCAGGCGCGGGTCAGGCGCACGGCGGCCTCCAGGCTTATCCTGTGGCCCACGGAGACGTACAGGGGATTGGTACTGTGGTCATGGCTCTTCAGGGCCTGGGCCAAGGGAAGTGAGGTCAGGGCCTGGGGGTCAGGGCACTGGGCCCGGGATCAGGACCAGTTCGACGGCCAGAGGATCTGACAACAGGCCTTGGGTGGCAAGAATGAGCTTAGAGGGTCCCCGGCACCTCCACTTCCACAGGACGGGGCTCCCAGCCCTTAGGGAGTCTTCCTGCACTCTGTCTAAGGGCAAGAAGTCCCAGCTGGGGGTGAGGAAGCAAGGACCACACCTATCTCATGACGCAGATCAACAAGGTAGCAAAACAATGGGGAGATGAGCAGAGTCTGGTGCATGGTGTGTGTGTGCACGGGCACACATGGATGTATGTATAGGGCACATGTATGTGTGCACGTGTGTAAACACAGGTATCAGTACAAAGCATGTGTACATGCGCATGTGTGCGTGTACACACAGATATCTGTACAGGGCATGTGTATGTGTATACGTGTGTATGCATGTACATGTGTGTATGGGGCTTGTGTACATGTGTTCTTGCATGCATACATGTGGATCTTTGCACAGGACATTGTACATGCACATGTGCACCTGTGTGTACATATGGGTGTAGGCACAAGGCATGTGCACACATCGATGTGTACATGTGCATATGTACACATGGATATGTGCACAGTGGATATGTACTTGTCCATGTGTGTTCACACCCCTGAGCATGTGCACGAACGTGCATCACATGTTCATGTGTACACCTTCACGTGTGTAGGTGTGTACCATGCATTTACACATGTGTATGCATATGTCCATGTGTATACGTATATAGGAGCCATCTGCCCCCCACTGGCCCAGCACCCCTCAAACAACCTCCCGGAGCTCTCTGACCTGGGGAGCGTGGTGTTGGGGAGCATGAGCCCTGGAGCACTCACCATTCCCAGGACCACCCCAGAGCCCCCTACCAGGGGAAACGTGTCTTCTCCAGCCCGCAGGAGTCGTATCTGAAGAGTAAGGAACAAGATTTGGAAACTGTGTCCCGGGGAGGGTGAGAGGCCTCTGGGTTTTTAAACCTGAGCCATCACTAGCATGGAAGGCAGGGTCTTGCCTACAACATCCACACGTGGGGTCAGCATGCTCCCACCCTCTCCCCCCAGCACCTCCGAGCTGGCTCTATTCCACGGTCCCACAGATGGGGAAACGGACGCCTGGCAGCAGTGAGACAGCCTGCCCATAGCCACGGGGCGGCGTGGTGCTCCAGAGACTGGAACAAAGCCGAGGCCCACGCACCGAGCAGGTCCAGAGGTGACACCCCCCCCCCGCCAGGGGCCACAACCAGCCCCGAGGCTACTGCCTCGCTGCCCTTTCCCTCCTGCTGGAATCCCGCACACTCGATTCAACTGGCAGTCTTTGGGGGATGAGAACAGTTCACACACCCAGGGGCCAACCAAAAGGTTGGGGGTTCCAGTCCACCCGAGGGCCTTGGAAGAAAGGCCTGGTGAGCAGCTTCTGCAAACCCCACGGGGCACAGTGGTACTCCCACCCACAGGGAGGGGCCCTGAGTCGACTCCATGGCAACCAGCTTGGTTGGTCTTGACTCAGCCTCTGCTGCTGCGGGCGCTGGAGAGCCCAGACGGAGAAGCAGCCCGCTCCGCACCCTCGGTCTGCAGCTGGGAGCTGACGGGGGTATCACCCACTCAGGGCTGGGCTGGGCCTGGAGGCCAGCAGGGTAGGGGCGCAGCAGCAGGGCCTGCAGGGGTCTGAGCGCTCACCGCGGGAGCCAGGGGCTGGAGAGGGGCCGGCAGGAGGAAAGGCACAGAAGCCTGTACTGGAGGGCAGGACACGGGCAGGCAATGGCACAGAGGTGATGGGGACGGGAGAGGTCAGCGCCCTGGGCACACCCATAGCTCAGCGAGGCTGGCTGGCACTCTCGAGACGCAGCACCCCCAGGGGCGCCCCAGAGGGGGGCCATCTCTGCAATGTTTCCCTTGGCCGCCAGCCCCACCAGAGGCCCCTCACCTTCTCCTTGTGTAGGTCACTCTTTTCCAGCCCGTCCACCTGCAGGAGCTTCTTGGCCACCCCGACACTGGGCAGGTCTGTGAGGACGCCAAGGTGGCAGGCCACCCCGAAGCCTGCACCAGCAGGAAGGGAGGAGGAGGGGTGAGGCTGGGTGGCCTGGGGAACCACAGGTTGGGGGTGGCCGGGGAAAAGGGCAAACCAGACTCTGCGATTGCCTCAGGTTTCAGGAGGCCTGTCAATGGGCGGAGGGTGATGGGCACCCTCCCTCTCCACCGCACCAGCCCTGGAGCTGTCTCTCAGGGGGCGTGTTACCTTGGTGGTGGAGCACCCCATTTCCGTCCACGAGGAGAACCTACAAGAGCCACAGAAGGCTAGTTGGTGGCACTGCCCGACCCACCAGCAGGAAGGGGCCCAGGTGACAGCATTTGTGAAACCCGTCCTCCTCTCCCCAGGGCAAATGCACCTTATCCCACTGGCGGGTGTCTTCAGGGTGCTCTCCCCTCCCCACCCTGGGGCTGGGCACCTGCCTGGGGCATCAGATCGGGCTCCTTCTCCTGCAGCCGCTGCACGGCCTCCACCAGGAAGGGCACCTCTCGGAAGGCCAGGAACCCCGACACGTAGGGGGCTGTCAGGGTCACCATACGGCACTCCTCGTACACTACCTGTCACAGCACACGGTGGTCACCAGGACACTCCCCACCCCCTTCTCTGCCTCACCAATGAGAGACAAGGGGAGGAGACAAGGGAGCCTCTGCCCTGTAGGCTGGAGGTGGGCGGGGGCATCGTGGCACCTCAGCTGTGCCAGGTGCTCTCAGTCAGGGCCAGCCTCCTGCTGCCCTCCCCAGGATTCCTCCTTGTAGGTGGGCTGACCCTTGCCCACCTCCCCCCCAGCCCTCCCGTCCTCCACCCTTCTCATCCCACCTCCCCAGGGGTCTGCAGGCTCAAACAGACAAAGCGAAAGGAAGCCCTTTGTGTGAAGGGCGCCACACGGGACCCTGGGGACAAAGACCATGTCTCCTGAGAGCTGGTGGCAGCCCTAAGATTAACACAGTCTTCACAAGAGGCCTGAGATCATCAGAAGGGCAGATGGTCTTAGAGCTGGTATCAACGTGAGAACACTGGTGCCGAGGGCCGGAGGGCCAGGAAACGAGGGGCAGGTGCCCGGCCAGCCATCTTGTGCAAGCTGGGGAGGGGGGCAGAGGTCAAAGGTCAGGTGCAAGAAAGGGTGGCGGGTCTGAATCAGGCCTGGAGGCCAGAGGCCCAGTGGTCAGGGGCCTTCAGGAAGGGCTGGGGGCACCCAAAGAGCTCTCTGGCAAAGAGGTCGTTTCTTCTTCAAGCTGAGAGGAGCCCCCACAGTGGGGGCAGGGAGAGTGGGCCCCACTTTATTCCACCACTGACAGCTCAGGGTCTGCTCAGAGTGCAGGGCCACCCGGTGGGGGCGCAGCCACCGTCCCCCAGGCATGCTGCTCAGACCTCTGCTGCCAGGACTCAGGGTCTCACTGAAACCCCCACATCTCTGGACAGCAACTTCCCAAACCATGACGGCTCCTGACTGGACAGCAGCTCAACGTTAAATGGGGCTGAGGAGCGATGCCTCACGTTACAAGCAGGGCAGGACCCTGTCCTCCCACATATTTATCAACGACTCACTACCTAAAACCAAACCCACTGCCTTAGGGTCTATTCCAACTTACAGGGCCCCTAGAGGACAGGCTGCTGCCCTGTTGGCCTTCCAAGGTGACTATCATCTTTACGGAAGCAGACTGCCTCATCTTTCTCCTGCAGAGCAGCTGGTGGATTCAAACCACCAACTCAATACAATAACCACAGCGTCACAAAGACCCCAATTGGGGAGGGTTCGAGCCAGCGATAGATAAGAGGGTTCAGACACAGTGACCCAGCAGACTGGGCTGCCTGGGCCCAAAGCACAGGGTGTGTGTGAAGCTCAGACACCAAGTATGGCTGCTTCCGTCAGCCTCTCCACACAACCTCCAGAAACCAGAGGGAACAGAGAGGAGGAAGCTGAGGCCCACAGCACAGCCAGGAAGGACACACCTCGGACGTTGGTGCACACAGAGGACCCAAACAGCCTGACCAGCAGGCCAGCTCCAGTCACCACACTGGGCAGAGGCGGGTGGGAACAGGCAAGGAGTGGACAGTGCCTGACACGAGCACATGAGGGTCGCTCCTGAAGAGGCAGGCCTTGTCCCGCGTGGGCACCACTGAGGAGGGGCCGGGACCGGGCATCAGCACTTGGAGCTTGTGGGGCCAAAGAGCACTGCCGTTGTTTCTGGAGCATGGCAGGCAGGCTCTGGAGCTCGGATGGAAGCAGGGGTCCTTTGGAAACGAGACTATCATAGATCAAAGGCTGCCTCAGACATACAGCAGTGATGAAGGCAATGACCCTGGATTTTGTTCCTCGTGACCCTTGCCCTCCACAGAGCTGTCTGCCACGGACTGCTAGGAAACTCCAGTACACTTTGAGATGGACAATAAAAGTTGGCTGCTAGCTGCACAAAGCTACTACAAAGACTCACATGGCAAAAATCAAAAGCTGACAGCTGATGGCAACACGACCCTTCCCCCACATAATCGTGATGCAGGACACCTGTAACATTCTCCAGTGGGCAGAATCATCTTAAACAATGGCAGGTGGGAAAGACGCAACCAGGCAGAAATTGCAAACCAGGGCAGAAGTGGAGGAAAAAGCGGGATAACATAAACGAGAGCTGACGGAAAAAGGGGAGAAATCAAAGAACAAGATAAGATCATCTGAGAAACAGAATCAATCACAAAGAGACTAAGTGGGAGAGGCCAGACAGGCAAGGCTTGGACTGGAAGTCTGTAAGTCACTTCTGTAAGTCACAGAAAAGAGAGAAACAAAACAGCAAGAGGTTGAAACAGTAGCAAGGACACAGAAGATGGACAAAGAAAATCCAGCACAAATATAACTGGACTCTCTGAAGAAAAGAAGAATATTTAACGCCACGATCCCAGAAACATCCCCAAGATAAAAGATCCGACCCCACATACTGCAACAGCCAACCATGAACCTGGGAAAACTGACCTGGAACAGCTGACTCGAGACAGTCAGCTGGGGAACAACAAAACCAACCAGACAAGGCGGTGACCAAACATCCGACAGTAAACCTAACACTGACAGTGGAGAAGCCAAGTGCTGCTTCCAGGCAGAAGGACTGATGTGCAGATGGGGGTCTGTTCTGCGCTGCTGCCTGAAGACAGACTCTGAGCGTAAGGGTGGGAGCTAGCGCACCATGGAAAAGAACGATGGGCCGTCGGCTCCCAGGGATGCTAGGAGGCGCTGGGTCGTGGGGAAAGCAGGCCTGTGGCCCCCAAGCCTGCCTGCTTCCAGGCCCTGCCTTTGGCGATCTTGACTCAGCAGTTAGGGGAGGGTTCTGGAATTTTGTCTTAAACAGCTTTACTGGGACAGGATTCACACACCATAAAGGCACCTGCTTAAAGTGTATGAGCATCACCATACTCTAATCTAAGACCATTTCCATTATCCATTATCCTGAAAGCAACCTTCTCCCACTAGTAGTCCTTCCCCACACGCCCTGCCCTAGGCACCATGAATTTCCTTTCTGTGCCCGTAGATTTGCCTGCAAAGCCTACATGTAAGAGTACACTTCCAGGTGATTCGGCTCCATCAGAGCCACGGACATTAGAGAACCAGCGACGACTCTTCCATGGGCCTCTCCAGCACAGGACAATAAACACAGGCTGGGCCCCTAGCCACCAGGCTCAGTGTTGGGGCCACAAAAGGACGAAGATGTAACTCTGCCCCGGAGGACCTGGTGGCCGTGTGACATACAGAAATGTAAACTCAAGTCCCCAAAAAAGTGCTGTCACCACATACAGACAGGGGTCCAGCACACATGAAGTAGTGATCAGTGCGGCAGCGAGGGCCGCCCCAGGGCAGTGACCCTGTGGACTGGGATGAGAAGTGTGAGAAGTCATCGTGAGATTAACAGTAGTCAACATTTCTTGCTGGGTAAAGCAGAGGGTCAGCAAAAAAAGAGGGAGACCCTCAGTGAGACGGGCTGACGGTAGCTGTTGCCACGGCCTCAAACCTGGCAACAACTGTGGGACGGTGCCGAGCTGGGCAGCGCTTCATTGTGCTGTACGTCGGGTCCCTGTGAGTCAGAACTGACTTGATAGCACCCAGGAACAATTTCTCTGAGGGCTTATCAGGTGCCAGTACCTGGCTAAGTGCTTTCCATGAATGCTTTCATTCCTCCCCAGAGCACTGTGCCCTATCAATACTATCAGCCTGAGTTATGAAAGAGGAAACCGCGGCCTACATGGGTCCAGTGGGGAGAGGCAGGGCTGGGCTATGAGCTCAAGCAGTCTGGCCCGAGGCCACGCCCTCACCCACGCACTGTCCTGTAAAAGTCTGGGGAAGTCCAAGGACAGGGACGCGGGTCCTGCATCACTGTGTATGCAGATTTAGCGCACAGCAGGTGCGCAGGAACTTCTGTTGGATTTGGACTGAAAGGGGTGTTCCGAGTAAAGCGGTGTTTCAAGTAAAGGGGCGTTTCAAGTAAAGCACAAAGGGGCCAGGGCAGGAAGACGGTGGCCGTCTTCAGGGGCTGGCGGAGGAGCCCTGAGAGGGGCTCACTGAGGCTGTCCTTCCTCAGTGCTCTTCTCCCACCAGGGCTTCCGGACTCCTAGTGAGTCACGGGGACACCGTTCACGCGCCTATTTAAGAGGTGTCTGAGTATCTCCTGTATGCCCGGCCTTGGGCTGGGGGCCAAGGCTACTGCACGGTTCCTGACGTCATGGAGCCTACGTTCCGGTGGGGAGAAAGACAGGCGGTTCTCTTACAGAGTGATAAAAGAGAAAGTAGAGGTGGAGAGACAAGTCCTGGGCTTCCTGGAGGATGTGAGTTAGGACCTACGGGCTGAGTAGGCACCAGCCAGATGGCATATTCCAGCAGAGGAAACATCACTGCCAACGTCAGGTGGACAGACACGGGGTCTGAGGCATTCAAAGTCGTCCAGGGTGCACTGGGGGCGCTGGGGTGTGGGGAAGGCCAAGCTGACAGCATTGCATTAGGCCAGAGACTCCAGGAGCAGAGGGCGGGGGCCGGCGGGTCGCAGACAGTTAGGAGGCACAAAAACGGAGCTAGCGTGTGACGGCAGGCGGGAGAGAAGCGTCCGGAGGCAGAGTCCTGGGCCTCTCGACGGGGTGGCAGCGCCTCACCGACCCAGAAGCAGGACAACCTGGGAAAGCTGAGCGTGATGCAGCAGGGACAATGGCACGACCTCCCCTGGATTCCGCCCCGTTTTCCTTCAATGACTCCCCAGTCTCTAACGCAATCCTGCGGAAGCTCGGCCCCGGGCTCGGCCCCCCTCCAGGGGCGTTACCTCGAGCTCAGGGTAGCTGAGCACCACTAGGGAGACGCAGGCACTGACGCTGTCCCCTTCCACAAAGGACACGTCCACGCCCCCGACCCTCTGCAGACCCGAGAAGTCGGGGTCCCGCTGCCACGCCTCCGTGTCCCAGTCTACGACGCGGGCCTTCAGCCGGGCTTGCTCCCTAGGAGGCGCGGAGGAGACAAACGTCAGGCCGTGGCCCGAGCTCCCGCGCTAGATGCTCGCTCGCGAGCCCTGCCAGCAGTCCCGCCCCCGGCCCTGGTCTGCACGCCCGTTTCCGCAGCCTACTCGGAGCAGCTGCACGCCCCGGGTAAGCCAGCCCCGGGCGAGGGCGTCGGGGCTCTGCCCTGCAGACTCTGTCTGCGAGCTGTACTCTTCCTCCTCCCCGGAGACACAGTTCCCTGGGTGCCGCCAAACTGGACTCGCGACCCGGAAACGAAAGACGCCCACCCGCAGGACTAAGATTCCCGAAAGCCCCTTCGCCCCTCACGCCGGAAGCGGGACCCGGGCCTCTGACGACCAAAGGGGCTGTCCGCTGGGAACCCTGCAGCGCTTTATCCTCCCTCCTCCTCGGGGAAGGCGAGGGACCCCAGGTAGGTCTGCGATCTCCCGCGCGGAGCCGCAGCGAGGGAAGAGGGCGACTTGGAGGGCTCAACTCCCGAAAAGCCACTCGCCTCTCGAGCCGGAAGTTTGGCCCAGGCGCCAGCGGCTGGGTCACAGTGACACGGGTCACTGTGACTCCGAAGTCGCGGGGTTACGAGGTCGGAATATCTGCATAGAAACGTATAAACTCCCTTTCCAGCCCCTGCGCGCCTCCTAACTTCATTACCGTTTCCAGAGCGACAAGGTTTCCTCAGGCGGCCGTTCTGCCCCCTCACGTGCCATTGCTCTGCCCCGGGCGCTTCTTCCTGAACGTCACTTCCGAGCCGCCTCGCACAGGTGCCGGGCCGCCCTCATCGCTGGGCGACGCTGTCAGGGCTCTGTGGCAGCCGTCGCCGCCAGAGGTCGCTTCCGGGCTCATCATCGCTTCCCTCCCCCAGCACTCCCGCCCCGGGTCTTTGTCCCCCGCTCGGGGAGGCTCTGTCGTTATAACTCACAAATGCGTGTCAGCTTGTTTTCCCGAGCGCTGCCGCACACGTTATCGGCCCTGTCTCCTCAGGCCCCTGGGAGGCCTGGCTGTCCCCTTGACAGCGACGAAGTGGCGCCTCCGACGCGGTATTTTCTCAGCGGAGGAGCCTCGGAAACCTCCAGTCCCGCCCGCCTGGCCCCCGGGAGAGGAGGACGGCGACCCACCCGGTGTCTCGCCTCGTCGGGTGCCCTGGCCTGACGGGGTTCTGCGTTATCACGGCAGCTCGCACGTGCCCGCCACCGAACGGCCGCTGGCTGCCGAATGAATGAGTGACTGCGGGGGTGAGCCAGGCCTGTCCAGCTAGGTTTCTCAGACCAGTCCGCCTGCGCTGCACTGAGTAATTACCGGACTCCACAGGACCCCAGCGGAGTCCGGGGGTGATGCAGATGGATAAGCTCGAGGTAGTCCACAGGTTTGCAGTAAACCCACCAGCGGCACCTCCGAAGAAAGGCCTGGCAATGTGGTTCCTGACAACCCTGTGGAGCGCTTCTCTTCTCCATGTGTGTGCTCACCATGTCTGAGTCTCACCGTGGTGACGACGGGCCCACGCTTAATTCACAAAGATGTACTGAGCATCTGCCGTTTACATGGACCTGTTTCGATGAACATGGGAGCGTTTGAGGGTAGGACCTGTGGACTTGGTTTCTCTTGACCATGGCAGGCTGGACTGGGAGGTCTCACTGGCAGAAAGCTTCACCCACCACCCTACGTCAGTCGGCCTTGGCAGCATTGCTCCTTCCCATTCGTTTATGGATTCGGTGCCCTGTGCCTGGTGGTGCTGACCATCTGATCAGGGATAGGAAGACATGAACATGTCACTGTAGATCGTGACAAGGGCTATGAGGAAAAATAACATGGGAAACGTACTTCCACCTGGTGGCTAGGAAAGGCCTCTGAGGAGTGGTATGTAAGAGGGGGCCTGAGTGGGAGGAGAGCTCGTGTCAGGCAGAGGGGACACACTCTGAGGGTCCTGAGGTAGGAGAGGCTGGTGTAGCTGAGGCACTGACAGGCAGTGACTTAACCCTGGGTGATCCCTGCCTCAGTCACCCAGAGCTGCTACCACAAGTGGATGTCTTCAAGGAACAGGAATATAAAGATGACCAAGCCAGGGCCTCAGCCATGTCTGTTCCTTCCTTAGCAGTAATCACGGGGTTTCCTTGCTTCCCTGGCTTGTAGTGCATCCTCACAGAGGGCCTTGAATCTGCCCCATCCCCACATCAGTGTAGGTGTCTACTCTGCTCTTTTTATAACTCAGAAGTGATTAGGTTTAGAACCCACCCCACTCAGGTGTGACCTAGTGAACGTAACAAAGAAAACACTATTTCCAAACAAACAGGCTTGTACCACTGAGACAGGGGCTAAGATTACAACCCAGTGTAATCTGCAGCAGGATTCTGCCAGGTCATCCAAGCATACAGATAAGCAACAGAAGGCTGAACATAGCTCTCGAGAAAAATACAATGACCAGGATTGGAGGCAGAGGTTTGGGAAAAAGTACGTTCCTGGCACTTGTTTTCCAACTGGGAATAGGATCCCTGATGCTGAAGCAGAGTCGATTCAACTTACAGTGACCCCTCCTTGGGTTTCCGAGGCAGTATCTGTACAGAATTAGATTACCCAGTCTTCCTTCTGAGAAGTGGCTGGTGGGTTTGAACCACCAGCCTTCTGGTTAGCAGTCAAATGCCTTAGGCACTACGCCACCAGAGCTCCAGTGAATGTGAAGGGGCTGGAAATGCAGACTGCTCGTGGCTCCAAGTGAGTGGCTTTCCATCCCTGGATTTTCTCCCTGCCTCCTCCCCATCTAGAATTTCTCTCCCCTGCTGGGATTGATTTAGCAACTTCGCTTCCAGTGGTTACACGAAGATGCTTTTGTAGTAGCATAGCGGTGCGCATGGCAGGACGTGGGCAGCTTTACCTGCCTACTAAGCTGGCCCGTTGAGCTGACCTCTTTTTCACAGTGATGGTCTAACACAGGAAGTTTGTTCCTGAGTTGGAAATGCTGGACACAGAAGTAGTGTAGTGGTAACTCTGGGTTGTCTCAGCCAACAAATGACTACTGTCACCACTGGTGAAAGGTAAAGGCTTTACGCACAGTTAAGACCTCAAAAAGACAGCCAGGGTTAGTCCTGACGATTTCTGGTAGGTCCCACCCACCTCACCACTGTCCACCTGGGCTAAAACAAGCCAGCCTGTGGAGCAGGGAAATGTTGACACCCACACACATATGAACAGCACAATAAGTGAACAGGGCACGGTGGGAGGGCAGGCTGGGGTTGGTGCTGAGACCCTGTTGACTGAACAAAGTGGCTGGAGTGGAATGGAAATGGTGGGAGAAGACAGAGTCTGACAGCCGTGGTCAGGTCGTCTTTTGTCCCCACTGCAGGCCAGCCTGAATATGGGTCATCTTCCTTTGAGTGTCCCCACTGCAGGCCAGCCCCTTTGTTCTTTGTAGAAGAGAAAATGCTGTTTTCCCCTAAGTGGGCCACTTGGAGCTTACTCTTTATTACTCACATCTGTTTACTTCCTATTTCTAAGAAATTGCTTCCCCAATCCCACAACCCAACTCATTGACAGAGCTGGCACTTCTCCTTAGAGCTCTGCCATTCCCAGAGATGCCACCTCAGGCATGAGGTGGAAGGATCTGCCTCAGAGGTTGGCCGTAGGAGAGTGGCCTGGATTCCAAGGGAAAAGATGACCACCTCACGTTCTGAACCAAATCCAACTCTTCTCCCTTGACTTTGGCCTTCAGCACACTTCCAGAAGAACATTTCCACAAAAAACAAAACTGTCCCCAAAAGCCCAGTTGGTGTCTGTTTGCCAAAATAAAAACTCTGCCCCAAAGAGAAGGGTTCTTAAGCAGCAAAACTCAGCTTTATTAAGACATTTATAAAATTGACTTTTGCTGCGTGCTAGTCCAGTGTATTTCTGAATAAACAAGATAATGCTACATAGGACAGTGAAAGCTTTGGAAACAGAAAAACAAATTATGTAAATTAAAAAACCTTCATAAAAGTAGGGGGAAAATCCCTCTCCCCAAAAAATTCTTCACAGCAGCGGATTGCCAGCTGGCTCCCACCTGCTAACATGTGGCAGCGGCACAGCAGTTGAAGCCAGGAGGCTGTGAGCAGCCGTCTGATGGCTGGTCCCTACTTGGAGCTCTGAGAAGTCCCCACTGCAAGGGGAAAGAGTTCGACCAACCCCCCTGCGCATTACCGGGCAATCCAGGGTACAAATGTGTTGAGGGGAGGGCCTTTGCATAGTCTTAAATGATAAACCACCTTCGATCACTATATGCAAGCAGACACTCAATCAAGTGAATTACAACCTTGGGTCTACAGCACTGTGTACGGTCATCAAGTGCCCTGAACAGAGATCAAAATAATGCACGCAGAACACGTCCTTCCGCAGCTTCCTGCGCTTGTGCATAAGGGGTCGGTGGTCACATTCTCTACAGTATGTTGTGTTTCCATAGCTCTTACCCCATGGACCCCATTTCAAGTTGATTGAGTCATGAGCTCATTGAGAAAGTATATTGAGGGCACTGGCCACTGACTTGTAAACAGTTGCCATCTTAGTATCAGTGCAAATCAGCTACCTAGGAGAGGAGCTAGTCCAGAGATAAGTACCAACAGATTTGAAAAAACACACACTGAACGTCAGGAAAGCACAAAATCAGTACCAAGTGACCACTCCCCTTTCCTGTCCTCGGGAAGGAGACCACTCTGTGTTCCTCCAAGTTTTGGCTGCACCTGTGCTGAGATGGGAACAAAGGACCAGATGCCTGCACATTAAGGAACCCGGGCCACATTGAGTGAACCTGGGCCACACTGAGTGTGCGTGGGTATTCTGGCCCGTCAGAAATCACCCACAGATGTGCCAGAACCACACCTCGGACCCCAGGTACTTTCACAGACTTCCATCTAGAATTTCAAGATATTAGCATCGGAAGGACTTCAGCCAGCCGTCCTCTCTGAGGGGACTCAGGCCCAGAGTGTGTCCCTGTCTCCTTGTCCAGCACTCCTCATGAGCAAAGCACCTTGGCTCTTACCCGTGGAAATTTGGCAGTGACTCCTTGTGGGGCCTGGGTCAGATTCTGTTGGTTTGGCTTAAGGCACTCACACAACATCCTGACTTTTCTTGTATTTGAACAAGATGAAAAAAAAAAAAAAAAAAGAGTCTGGCACTTTGTCACATCTTCCAACTTCAGAAATACCTGTACACACTCCAAATTTGGAGGAAAGAATATGAGAATCTCTTCGGTGAGTGCAGAGAAAATTAGAAAAAATAAGCAAAAAATTCATCCCGTTTTTTTCCTCCCTCTGATTCTATAGCAGTCTGAGGGAGGAGCCTGGTGGCTGGGCACGTGCCACATCAGGCCGGCAAGGCCACTATGCTGGGTTAAGCTGAGAACTGTATTTCTTTGTCCCCCCTGGAATGTAAGGGATAGTGGTTTATGTCCAAGTTCATGTAACCTTCAACCCTCCCCTCCCAGTGAATAACATTCATAACATGATAAGAACATTCTGGAATAACAGCCATGAGCTCACACAGCACATCCTGTTTTGCTTGTTAGTGCAATGGTGTGAGCGTTCCCTCCAAGCACTCACAAAGGTGACCGACAGCCCGTGATGGGATGCCGTGAGTGGTTGAGGGAGAAGGGCCACCTCGCCTCAGGTCACCCCCAAGCTGAGCTAAGGAGCTGCCTCTATCTTGAGTGGCGGGCCTGCTTCAGCCTCGCTGCCATGTTCCACACTGAGGCGCAACTGGAGAGCAGGATGCCTTCCGGGAACTGAGATTCCAAGTCGGGAAGAACACCAGTCTCTTTAGTTTCCATGTAACTCATCAGAGTGTCTCTCAGGCTGAAAAACCAAGGGACAAGAGATAGTATTTCAAACAGGCTCGCCAGTAACAGAAGGAGACCAATCAGCTGTCACTTGTCCCAGTCAACAGAACCAAAGTGCTCATTAAGACAGGAATATGGAGGGTCGGGTTAAGGACACGCAGCTACGGAGTGACTGCACTGGACGTAGCATCCTGGGTTCAGGGCGGTGGTGGCCTATCCGACGGGTCTGCAGCCTTACCTCCATGCAGGGTTGAAACTCGTCTCCATGTGGGGGCTCTTGAGTTTAAGCAGCATCATCTCATGCAGTTCCAACAAGAAGCCGTCTAGGTCAGTCTGATGCAGGAAGGGGCTGAGGAGTTTCGCATCCTCCAGGCTGAGGTCCTCCTTATACTCGGAACTGATTTCCCTGAACGGATCCTAAAGTGAAATGTGAACAAGTGGAAATGGGAGGTCAGGAGGGAGGATGCGTGCAGCTGCGAGCAGGCTGGGGCCGGGAAGAGGGGACTGACCTTTCCCAGGCGCAGCAACTGTTCGGACTTCTGTGCCGAGAGGAACCGCCATAGGGCAATGACGTGCTTCAACTGACACCTGTTTAGGGCCTGAAAGAGGGGGCTCCTGAGCAGGGGAGGGACTCACCCAGCAGGCCGTGGGGCCGACTGCTCATCCACGCGGCCTCTTCTCCCCTTTCTGCTCTGTGCTATTTCTGATTCCTCGTGCAGCCATCTCCTTAACAGTCCTTGAATCCACTCGCCTCATCTTTCAAAATTCTCTGAAAAGTTTCCCCTCTTGGAGCCTCTCAGAGTCCTGGAGCACCCACAGTCGAGTCACAGCTGGGGCGTGCTGTCTACACGGTCAGCATTCTGAGTGCACCACTAGGTCTGTACCACCCAGTGTGTCGTCCACACATGGACCTACCAGGCGAGGGGTGGTTCTGTCCCCCCCTCCTTCCCTGGGTCTACACTGACAGTCCCTGAATGGCGGTATTCCTGTAGGAAGTGGGGAAACTGAGGCGAAGGGCCATGCAGACTCCCTTTGACGGAAACCTTAATACGAGACCCACCTTTGAAACAGGACTTGTCTGATCACCCATTCGCAGGACTTCTTGGATGTACACATTCAAGGGCATGTTGGGGTTGCCACCAGCGGTGCTCAGAAAGCCCAGGGTGACCTCTATGACTGACAGGGCTTCACAGGCGTCGCTGAAGGACTGCAGCTGTCCGCTGAGGGCACTGAGGGCTGCGTGAGGGAGAGTGCTCTGCGGGGGCAAAAGCAGGATGGGCCTGTGGCTTGGGGTTCTGGGTTCCTGCTCCCCAGTAGAACAGCTTCCCTTCTTCACTGCCCAAGCCCACAAGGGGAGACAAATGCCCCATCAACAAGGTAACGCTTCACGGCACTTACTAAGTGTCCCGCAGCGGTCCAGACATGCAGAAACAGGTATGAACCCATTTCACCCTCCAAATGACTCTGTGAGAGTGTGTGTGTGTGTATCAAGAGTGTGTGCACAGAAATAAGTTCTCTGGTCCTGCATCAGCACACGTGATCACAACCAAGAAACTAACACCACAGCCTTAAATCCAATTACACTTAACAAAAGACGCTTACAGACTTGATGTCTTGTCGCCCTTCAGAGAGATCACAGGGATTGGGCCCTCGGACATGTTAATGAGACTCTTTGGGGCTCACAGTGCATGCCTAGGGGGGCAAGGCTGGGGCTCACAGTGCGTGCCTGGGGGGGCGAGGCTGGGGCTCACGGTGCGTGCCTGGGGGGGGGGCGAGGCTGGGGCTCACGGTGCATGCCTAGGGCGAGGTTGGAGCCACTGATGGACACAAAGCACCATGCCAACGATGCAGCCCTGTTCTGCTCACCTGTGACATCTTGTTCCTGATGTCCATGAAGAGATGTTCGTAGTTCCAGTCGTGTCTGTATACCAGAGTGGGTATTCCCTAAAATGAAAGAGAATGTGTTTTTGTCAATTAAATCCCTTGTAGAGTTCTCACAGATGGCAAATGACTGAATGGCAGCACTATAGCACACACTGCCCACTCCACCATCCACGGGAACAGCAGCATAACACAGAACCCAGCCTACACAATGGCCAGGCAGGTCCTGGCCCACTAGCTCCAAGGAGCACAGTTCTGGGGAGTGAGGAATGGAGGATAGCTCATTCCCGAATACACTCATTCACTGCCCCCAGACTGTGAAGCAGGCAGCCACTGTGCTAGAGGGTGGGGTGATTAGAATCAGCGACACCATCAGACTCCAACAATTGACACAGCAGTAGGCAGTGGGGGAGACAATCATGGACATTGGTCTGGGCCTTGAAGACATAAGCACAGTCCAGGTCAAAGAACCTGGAGGTCAGGGGAGGGAGCATGAGCCGTGGGTGAGATCAGAGGACCCCCTCAGGTGGCCCACTGGCTGGCGGTGGGCTGGAGGGAGGCTTGGACCTGGACATTATCCAGTATGCGTCGGAAAGATGCTAACAGGGTGGAAGAAACCGGAGGCAGGAATCTAGTTAGGAGCTAGTGCAGGGGCCGCACTCCAGGGCAGAGGGTCTGAACTACAGCAGTGGCTGTGTTTATTTTAGCAGGACCCACAGAAGGCAGACCCTACAGAACATGACGACACCTTGTGAAGGAAAAGATGGCTGCAAGGTTTGGCTTGGGTAGTTGGTGATGCCAGTCAGTAACTATGGCAGAAAAATCCAGACAATGAGCCCAATACGATTTGAAGACAGGGCTGGGACTGAGGTGCAGGCACTGATGGAGAGCCCTCCAGCCTATGATGTCGATGTGAGTGGTGGAGCTGTGGACATGAATGAGATGACCCGGAGAATATACTCATGCTGGTCTCATTGTGAAAGTGTGTGGTGGGAGCCACCCTGGTGGACACACCTGCCATTCACGGACTGTACCTTGAGGGTGAGCCTGGGCTTGCCCTGCAAAAACCGGCTGGTGATCTGCCGCTGGATTTTTTCCAGGTCAAACTCCTGCAGGGCCTCCGTGCCTGGCTCGACTTGGTACTGGCAGTTGGAGAGAATCAGAGGCATCAAGTCCCGCTCTGCTTCATAACTGATGACGTGCAGGTCGGTGACCTCAGAGGTATCGATGGAGTAACTGAGGGACATAAACACACAGCACTCAGTCCTGGGCACTGTGCACCTGCTGCAGGGCTTGAGGTCACCCCAAGGTCAGTTCCTGGCTGATGTTCTCGACATGCAAGGCTAGGGACACTGGGGAGCTGACATCTGGCTCTCATCAGCCTACTGGGCCTGGGGCACTCACCTGTTACTTTCCTCAGAGAATTTGTCCACCGTGTAGACCATTTCATTGTGCAGCTTAATCAGGTAGTTGACTAAGGCGGTGGCACAGAGCCCCCACCCCTGGCGACGTGGCAGGATGAGCTCAAAGTGGGCATCCAGATCAAAGTCCCTGCTGCAGAAGTCCTGAGGGAGCTTGATCTCACCTTTAAACAACAGGGCTGTTCGTAAGCAGAGAAGCACTCGGCTCCACGCTGCCACTTCCAAAGCAGGGTGAGGGAGCCCATTCCAGCCACAGAGGTCACCTGCAGCATGCAGGGGCAGGTGGGGGCACAGGGGTCGCCCCCATGACGTGGCTGAGGGGCACAGATGGCATCCGTACCAAAGCTAGGACCCTGGTGCGGTCTCACGGTCTATGTCTGACCTCTTTTATATGCTGACAGGTTCTCTGATGTTCTCAGCTTCTTTACACCCCACATTTATAGACAGAAATTTCTGTCTACAAGTATCTCCTTGCAGAGAGAACTAAGGGTTGACTTTTCCTGACCTGCATCTCACTTATCCCAGACTCATCGACGCAGCACTGACCCACACACAACATGGGGCTTGGATGCCAGGGACAGGCAAGGCTGGACCCAGGAGAACAGTTTCCTGTCAGGTTATGAGCTAAAGGGGAGATCAGGACTTACCGTCAGTCTCGAGGGACCTTCTCAGCTTGTTCCACGTGGACAGAAAGGTGGTGATTCTCCTGCGAAACAGCTGCTGCAACCCACCTAAGAAAAGACACCACTTCTGCAGGCCTGTGACGGAACGAGCTGGTCCAGGTCACACCAGTGACCCAAGCCCAACTGAGAAAGACAGCACTTCTGAAGACCTGTGATGGGGCGAGCCAGTCTAGGTTACACTGATGACCCAACTGAGATAGATACCACCTCTGAAGGAAGGCCTGTGATGGCACGAGCCGGTCCAGGTCACAACAGCGACCCAACTGAGAAAGACAGCACTTCTGAAGACCTGTGATGGGGCGAGCCAGTCTAGGTTACACTGATGACCCAACTGAGATAGATACCACCTCTGAAGGAAGGCCTGTGATGGCACGAGCCGGTCCAGGTCACAACAGCGACCCAACTGAGAAAGACAGCACTTCTGAAGGCTTGTGATGGTGCGAGCTGGTCCAGGTCACACCAGTGACCCAAATGAGAAAGACAATGCTTCTGAAGGTCTGTGACGGTGTGAGCTGGTCCAGGTCACACTGGTGACCCAAATGAGAAAGACAGCACTTCTGAAGGCCTGTGATGGTGTGAGCCAGTCCAGGTCACACCAGTGACCCAAAAAGATAGCACTTCTGAAGGCCTGTAATGGTGTGAGCCAGTCCAGGTCACATTGGTGACCTAACCCCAACTCAGAAAGACAGCACTTCTGAAGGCCTGTGATGGTGTGAGCTGGTCCAGATCACACTGGCAACCCAACCCCAACTGAGAAAGACACCACTTCTGAAGGCCTGTGACAGCGCGAGCTGGTTCAAGTCACACTGGTGACCCAACTCCAACTGAGAAAGAAAGCACTTCTGAAGGCCTGTGATGGTGCAAGCCAGTCCAGGTCACACCGGTGACCCAAATGAGAAAGACAGCACTTCCGAAGGCCTGTGATGGTGTGAGCTGGTCCAGGTCACACTGGCGACCCAACCCCAACTAAGAAAGACAGCACTTCTGAAGGCCTGTGACGGTGCGAGCCGGTCTAGGTCACACTGGCAACGATTCACTCTGTATAGAGCCACTTTCGCATCTTCAGGCAACAGCCGCGCACTATAAATGCCATCTTAACAGTAAAGCTGGGCTTGACGGGCCACAGTGAGGATGGTCCTTCTCAGCTGCAGCACGAGCCTCTGACCTGTTTGGGGGACGCATGGGGCCCTTTGCCTCATGCTAACAGCTTAGGATGAAGAGCACCCCTAGCTGCCTGCCCTGCTTGGAGGGTCCTCTCAAGCCACCCATTATGGAGACTACTGACCTCTGATCAGAGCAGAGCCGTACCTGAGTGATGATGGGCAATGAAATCCCGGAGGGACCCGTAGTCAGCTTCTGACGCATTCTGGAATCGCTTCACCAGGTCCCGTTGCAGGACCAAAATCTCAGGCAAGAATTTCACCAGTCTCAGCTCTGCTTCCTGGGGAGGGAAGGCCACCCAGTGACACTTTTTCAGATGCTTAGATGATTATCTATATTATCGAACAATATCATTAGTTTCACATGCAAGGAAAATCTTACTGAAGATAATTCGAAAACGGTTGCAGCAGTATATTGACAGAGAACTTCCAGAAATGCAAGCTGGATTCAGAAGAGGACGTGGAATGAGGGATATCATTGCTGATGTCAGATGGATCTTGGCCCAAAGCAAAGAATACCAGAAAGATGTTTACTTGCGTTTTATTGACTATGCAA